ATGAGGATGTCAGTCTGACATACACAGAGTGCATGTTCTCATCCCTGAGGAGAAACTATTGCATCTTTAATTTGTAGCCTCCTTCTTAAAACAGACTGTGAGACATTTTTTCCATCTCAGTGAGAAGTTGCAGGATGTGACCATAATGTACAGGAAAATTTTACTGACTTTATGTACTCATGAAAACACTCTATAACATTTTACTGATAATTTTCGCTAATTAATAAAACTTTCAGGAAAATTAGTTTCATTGCAGTGTTCTTGTTGCGCTAAAGGATATTTATGTGCTGTGGAGAATATCCAGTACAACATATGTATGTATATATGTATATATATACATATATATATATGAAAAAACAAAGAATATGTTTAAGGTTAAGGCAAAAGATATATGAAATTTTTTTTTTTTTAAATCAATAAAATTGCTTGAATACATTGTAATTAAAGTAAGTATAGTACATTTTTAAAATATCTGCAGAGACATAAATCTCTAAGATTTTGATAAAAACAGCCAGAAGAAATTACTATAACTAACTAGATAGCCAAGGAAATTCCATCCTCTGTCTTTGGTTGAATACATATCAGAAAAACTGTGTCATTTCTGTCAGACACTGCTTATGCTAATTGGCAAATATAATAAAAACTATTAAACGGGGTGGAAATCATGGATCAACTGGGTAACTGGGAGGTATCCTGGGGGAACTCCCAGGTCTGGACCATTGCATTACTGAGCTCCTGGACAGCCTGAGTTGCTACCTGGTGGCATCACATGGACAGAAATATAAGTGTTGAGTTGGTTTTATCTCAGGTGATTGTGGACTCATTCAGTGGTATCAATTCCTCCAAGAACTGTAGGTCATTTGTTGGGACTCTGGTAATGCTCTTTATGTTCCTCCTTACACAAAGGAGCAGATACTTGTCCTGCTGATGTTTTAAGGACCTGCGGCGTTGTCCATGTCTCCGAGAGTAACTGCCTAACCTTTGGAATTTCCTTCATGCTCTTGAAACTGTGCTGTGAGCAAAGCAAACTTTCTAGCAATGGTGCATTTGGATGTACCATCCTGGAGGAGCTGGACTACCTACAGATGTGGACAAAATTGTTGATATATACCTAGGCATCGGTGGGCAACAGATGAAAACAGGGCGTTGTTGGAATGCTACTACGCAAGTAACCC